GCCACTGAGCTCGTACCACAATGGCAAGATAGTTGCTGACATTCTTCACGTTACGTAGCAGTTTTTTCTTTAGTACATATGCTGGCTTTTCCTTCGCACATCTACTCTGCCTCCGCTTGTCGTTTATGCTTGATGGTGATAAGCCAACAGTGCATATGTGCTCTGCACCACAGGCAAATTTCAAAAATCCAGCTCACACTACTCTTTAATTTCAATGAGTTACTGTCACTTTTGAAACGACAATCTATTTAATTGCTATAATAACCTTTACATTTAACACACGTGTGTTGAATGTAGGACAATTCTATTTTTATTGTTTTTCTTGGTCACAAAGATGACAACCATCCACAAGACACTGGCTAAATTTCTCATCTACAGTGGGTAACAATGTTACCATACTCTGTCAGACTAAACTGCTGCTGTCTAGACAAGTAACGATTCATTTTAGGACAGACCTGTTCGTAGTTTATTGCAGGGCATCGAAAAGTGTTCTTATGACTTTCCGATGGCTGACTTGCAATTCCAGCAGCTTGGCGTGAAAAGGTAAAATATCTAATTGATACAACAAAATGCCATCAGCAACCCATCCAGATTTTATTGCGTGATTGACAGTAGCTACAGACCTCAACAAATTGTCAACTGAAGACATAGGTACTAAGCGTGCACTAACTTCGAAGCGGTAGAAACCCTGAAGTTTAAACGTCAACTTACCAGCATGTTGTTAATGGCAAAATGGTGTTTGCGGCAAAGTGTTGGAGTCCTTCAGAATGGTGACGGTCTCCTTCAGACCGATGATGACGGTGACGAAGGTTTAGTTAGAGTCTAAGTTTAGTCAACGCACCCGACGACGTCGGTGTGCTTGTCATGGTGGCGACGAAAGCCTTCTTTCGCACATGCCTCAGCTGCCTCGGTCCGGGGTTTTGTCGACCCAACCGTCTCTTCCCAGCCGGTTGACAGCGATACTCACGACGGCCGTCACGGCTCTGATCACCATCCACTAGGCATTAGCTATGTGATCATCGGGGGCAACCGCGCCCTTGTAGTTCCCCGTTGCGAAAAATCTCAGTGCGATTCAATTAGTAGCTGCTGCTGGACGGTCATCATCTCTCATCGTCGCCGTCTCTCGTTGTCACACTGCGATCACACGGTGCTTTTCGACAAGCGGTATTGTCGTCAGAAACAGTCGTCGTGCATCGCGAAGGCAACCGGGTGCTCGCGGAAAACCCGTCATTGTACGCGTTGGTCGAGCCATCGTTGAGCAACAAGCATCGCCGCCATTTTCTACGCTCTAGAATCCTGCCCAAAGCTTGTTCCCCTTCGTGCAATAGAAAGAGGGGTTAAAAGCACGAGCCCATCACCCCGAACGATCTTGCACGAACGTTGGCTTGCACTGCGCAAGCGCGCCTGCTCGACAGGAACGTCGAAAGCCCGGAGCACGTTCTTGTAGCTCCTACACCGCACTAGCTCGCACTCATAGTGAAACAGAGAGTAGGGTGTGTCGAGTAATACCGCAGTTAATCTAGTGACGCGACTTCCGCTATGTGCTACGTAAGTCGGACGTGGTCATACGTCACTTTGTCGTCACGGTCCGAACTCGAAGAGCGACAGTTACGGCAAACGGTTGCTTTCGTGTTTCGCGAACGTTCCCATGGGAACCGCGTGGAATTATCACGCGGGCTGTGGCCAATAGGAGCGCACGGTTCGTAGGGGGGAGGTGTTTTCGAGAAACACGAACGTGACCGTTTGTGACCAGAATAGCACCCCAGGTTGCAGGGTACGCTCAAAAAGACTCTGTGCTCACATGATGGATTGGAAGTCAAATACACGAAATGTTCAAAAAGAAAGAGATAATGTTATTTTTCCAAATAATCCCTTGCAGAACGCCTCACTGCAAAAAGAGATGCGTAAAGATGCACGAAAGGAAATTCATGATTTTACATAAATAGCGCGAAAGACAGACAAAGATTCTTAAAATCGTAGTATAAATTACATTTCATCAGCTTGTGTGAGCTCGAAACTTCGCGAAATACTGCCTCGGGAGGCTAATGTTATATTCGGTTTTACCTGCACTCGTTTTGGGCCTTCACTTTACGACACCATGCTAGAGTAGTCACGCGCTCTAACATTTCTCAAGGCTGCGATATCTCATCGCGAGTCTGCTATAAATACTGCACAATTTTACAATTAGGACATCTATTGCTAGTGTTGCAAACATCACATTTCACCTAAAAGCTGAATTGTTTAGCATGGTATGCACGTGACGTTATCACACTATAGGCTGGTGGTCATTCTGATTCCTTCTTGCTGAGAAAGTCGAATTCGACGGTGCCAAAGGCACGCTGCAGGAGGTGCAAGCCCAGTGAAAGCAAAATATTTGAAAGGCTAGTATTATTATTCTTAGTGCATCGTCGTGAGGAACGGTGCCAGCGTCTGGCACGACAAAAACGTGCTTTTTGGCAAGAGCGCTTTTCCAATCAAAGTAGTTTCCGGGGTCACGCTTTTTGGTCTGCGCCAAAGATGCAGGGAAGAGGAACCTTTACAACACAAAATGTTTTTAAAACTCCCCCCTCCCCTTCCCCCCCCCCCCCCCACACACAGACACACTCCTTTATACAGCGGTGCTGTTAAGGGATATAGTTTCCCCAGTGCAGTGTCGTGTCCGTCAGAAAACAAATGATGACACTGAACTCTGGAGAGCTACCGCCATCTATAAATGACGACGGCAACCAGACAACCGGCTTGCCGGTTGCCTGGTTGCCGCCGTCGCTCATAGATGGCGGCAACCTTTCCAGCCTTTCCACTCTGACTTGCCGACTTGCGGCCGGCCATTACTTCATTCCCACCATAGTACAGCTTTTCTGGTCTTCCTTCTTCACCAGAGTGGAAAGGCTGAAAGTATTCCTGAGGGATTGCCTCCTTCGTTTTGTGTCTGTTAATTCGACAATTTTATTTGACACTTGTTAACCGCAACCCTTCATTGCTTTTATTTTACACCCCGTGAAGTTTAAAGGGGTCATGAAACGATATCGGGTTCGAATGTTCATGACTTTTCCGAGGCGTACTGGTCCTCTGGCTCAAGTGTACTCGCATAGGCCGCCACTGACTCAGAAGCTTCTTTGTCGCGGTGAAATGGCGAGTATTAAACGAGACTATTTCTTTTAATCTTGCCTTCCCAAAGATTGATATCGTAATTGTTGGATCAAAACCACCCGCCTGTCGACAGTCGAGCGCGGCTCATAGATTGGACAGGAGAACTGCGTGAGCACCGTACATCGGATCGTATAACAATCAATGCCTCGGCGGACACTTGGGTAGTGGCTTTTGTGCCACTACCCAAGTTCGACTATTCTCATCACTGTGTGTGCAACTACCGAAGTTCGACTATTCTCATCACTGCGGTGATGAGAACAGTCGAACTCTAACAATACCTGGAGCTCCAGCACGCGTTTTCTTCCTTTAAAACCCCAGCGCGGGGGTATGATTAACGTTGGCGGCATAAGACAGGCACCAGGCCACGTGGCCGCTTCTGGCTTCGAGTTGGGGGGATGAACGATGCTCATATTTCTCTAATTTTTTGGCGACTGCCATTGCCTAGAAAAAAAGAGCAAAGCCAAGTTCAATCAGTTATTAACGTTACAGAGTGATCCTGAGTAGTATTTAGTAATTTATACAAATATTTTTATAGCTAATTTCAGCAAAATTCAGAGGGGGTCGAAACTTAGGCAATAACTTGAAAACGAGGCTCGTGTGAGACTTACAGCGACTGCCAACGTTCGGCTGTTCCTCTGAGGTCACTAAAATATCTCTTTTTTTTTATGTATTCCTTCTGTAAACACGTGTTCTACGTGACGTCATAATATTAAGTCGCATTTAGTCATTTAAGAACTTCTATTCTCAGAGACATCTTTCAGATGCAGTTCAGCAACAACGAAAAAATGTTTCGGTGCCTCAATAATGTAAAATTGGTCTTGCAACTTTTTTTTTTGTACTTTCAGTAAATAGTGTTAAGAAATAACCCCTGAGGTTGATAGCTTGCGGAAACATTCATTAGTTTTCCTTAATAACAGATGCAGAAAAAATAAAGGACAGAGACAGCTGTCGATATCTCCCCAACTCGCAATTTAACAAGCGGCCACGTGATCTGACACTAATTATATGCCGCCAGTGTTCATCACAGTCATGCCCTAGGCGGATAGGGTTTGGAAAGCAAAAGCTTGTGCTGATATTGTTAGAGTTGGGCTATTAATTATCATATTTAATTGACATGAGCCGTTACCCGAATGTTTGGCGATGCTGATTGTCATGAGCCCGAGCACTCGAATAGGGGTTATGAAAATCGCTTACGTCATGGTGTCACGTGACTCTCGGTGCGAAATCGTTATGTTATGTTACGTCACGCTGTCAACAAGGTTAATACATCTAAGGACTTCCTTAAATTAAATCAAGTTGACGCAGTGAGTCACGTGACGTCACGAGGCCACGTGACATTACTCGACAACGTGTAGTGACACCATGACGTCACGTGGCCACGTGACACATGGTTAATCATAGTGCCAATACAAAGGTGCCACGAAAACCTACAATTCATCATTCATTGCAACTCTGTATATGACGATTTGATCAATACATATAAATAGAGCCGCCAATTTTTTATTCCCAAATGTTCATTTTGTGATATTAACAAAAAAGAAAAAAAAAAGAAATATTACCTTGAACCGTTTTGAACCGGTTACCGTTATATTTTTTTTCGGTTCGGTTCCGGTTCAGTTCCAAGATGGCGGCGAAGATTTCGGTTCGGTTCAGTTCCGGTTCGGCTAAAAATAACGGTTCTGTTCCGGTTTTTGGTTCGGTTCGGTTCCGGTTCGACACCCTGGTTTGGTAACGCGTCCGGAAGTGTCGTCATACGCAAGAGCCCTATCGGACATCTTCCCGGCGTCGCGAGTGTCCAGGGTCACATACATGACAGAGCCTAACCTTGTTAATGTTTATTCTTTCCCCAGGCACATCAAGCAGGATTTGGCAAAGTTGATAGTGCTACAGAAAGACGGCGATATTAGTGATGAGGAAATCGCGTTCTACTATTTACGGTGAGTGAAGTTCCAATATAGACACTGTAAGGATCACAGCTACTGCTAGTTTGTTTTTGTTCTTTTAATGGTAATTGTTTTTTTAGCTATCCGCCGGAATTGCCTAGAAAAACCCCTCTCCGAGCAGAAGGAGGCTGCCACATTACCATTGAAATGAATATTTTTTTCTCATTTTGCCCCACCTTGTGTCAATTAATAATTACGAAAGTAGCGCCAAAGTAACGTGCGTGACTTTCTAACGGTTATGGTAACTGTAACGCATTCTTTTTATTTTGCGGTAGCGTAGGTTGGTAACAAGTTCCTTTTATTCGCAAGTAACGAGTAACGTACTTCGTTACTTTTTTTCGGTAAGGACTACAACACCTGCACGCGATATACCTTCAAAGCGTTCCCCGAATGGTTAGCACATCCACACGGCGTCGATTCTTGACGGTACCCAAGCGTGCGAAGGCAGAAACGCAGCACTTCGGCGTGCCAAGGCACGTGCTTTGATGACGCCGCGAGACCGGCGCATAGAGTTATTATAATGTGCGCTAGAGGTTCAAGTGGTGCTAGTGTGCTGACGCAAATTGAAGCAGACAGCAACCAGTCGAAAATTGACTTCCGGTAATGCATTTCTATGGGAAAAAGTGAGTGCATTTTCTCCCTGCGTTCGATCATAAGAAACAATATACCAAATAATTCGTACGTACTAGGTAGTTTGGAACATTTCTCAGTCAGGCCGACGAAAGAATTGGTCAGTTACGGCGTTTTTCTGTCGAACTCATCGCACTAAAAACAGTGCTAAAACGGCTTCGTACGTGTATTTATGTGCACTGTCGGACACTGTTAGTGCGAACGCGGCGTCGGCGATTTCCAGCATGGGGGATATACATGCCAAACGAACGAAGGACATCTGGAAAATCAAGAGCGGCGGCAAGAACTACGCAGCAATACCGGATCAGTAACTCGCAGTGCATGTACGATCAAAATAAATTGAAGGCCACGTAATCTATTCAATTTTAAATAAGTGAGTACCGCTTTATTCTTTCTGTCCTTAGCGAAGCTGCGTGTTCTACGTTCAAAATATCACCCGCGCGCTAGACATCTTTGAGAACAAGTGCGCGATAAAAGCTGCCCGGCAGAGAAAACAATACGAAGAGACACCTTTCATATCCCACGGACTTTATTCTCTACGTTGAAGGTTTTTATCCGCTCATGCACGACGGGATCATTTTCATATGGTGACAGGACTGGCATATTATCAATACACAAGCGTTACCGGAATGCTGGCGAGCCTTGAACACACTCTTTATTCGTTTCGATCGTAATTTTGCTTTGAATCGCCGCTTGGTTTTACACACCTGCTGCGGAACACACGTTTGGGACTGAAATGTAGCGAAGTTGAACATCGCTCACTGATGAAGAAAAATGCGCTAACTAAAGCAATTACATTTTTACAATGTTAATTAAGACAGATACTATTCGGTACGACCGAAATAACCAAAGTGTTCCATGTTATTTTCCGGCGAAGAGACAAAAAGCACGCGCGTTTTCCCATAGGAATGCACAGGAGCACCGCAAAAGTAGACTGGTTGCTGTCTGCTTCAATTTGCGTCACGGAAGTCGCATAGACACTAGCGCCAGTTGAACCTCTAGCGTACATTATAATAACTCTATGGACCGGCGAGACTTGGGTTCGACGAGTTTTTCTTTTTTCCTGTGGTGCCGCGCTTTCGTAAAACTTTTCTTGTGTTCCAAAGATAACTACCGTTCACACAAGGTTTTAAAAAACTTTTTTGGCGAATGACGGCAAACGAGCAGAAAACAAGCGTGACTTCCGGCACGCTGCCGCCCAGCCTCTGCAACGCTTCCAAGATCGACTTCCGGAAGGCTCAATATGTCCGATACGGGCATCCGGTGGCCGCACTCGCGCTGCAGCGACCAAGGCTATGTTCCAAATCTTACCCGAGTAACCTGTCTTCTACGTCAGCGGGTAATACCACGTGACATCGCGAGTAAACGATCCGCGGCTTGATTTTGGAACGGTCGGGATAATCAACTGGATGCTACACGGGTTGGCTTCGTCTTGAGCTACGACAAGAAGAAAACATAGTAGCGACGGCGGAAAAAAGCAGACGATCTCTTTTAATTGTGGAGAAAGCCCTCGGACAAGCAGCAAGTGGAAAGAAAATCAAGAATTTTAATTTCAAATGTGACTTCCGGTAATGCATTCCTATGGGAAAACGCAAATGCGTTTTCTCTTCTCACTCGATTATAAGAGCAAATATTGCTTAGCGTTCTGACAAAATAAAAAGTTTGGAACATCTTTCAATCGGATGTAGAAGCATATGTGTCAGTTAGAGTTTTTTTGTTCAGAATTCATGGCGTCGAACACTGGGGTAAAATAGCCAAATACAAAGGGATAATACGTGTTTACGTTGCAGATTGCTATTATAGGCCATGTATTTGCGCATTTAGTCAATGCTATATAGCAAACATAGTGAATCAGCTTGACAAAACACCAAAAGGATGCTAATGATATGCAAAACCAAACAATCCAAACAGACAAAAAGAGCGAAGCATGGAAATTTTGGCTTGAATTTCAAATCAAGCAAATTTAAGCAACTCAAACAAGCAAGCAATCAATTCAAATTTTTTGCTTGAATTGATAGCTTGTATTGACATATCATGCCGTGTGACACAGACGTGGTCCTAAATTTTTGCAAACTTAAACGTGGCTGAGTAATAAAAAGAAATCACTAAATAAATTACACTTTTATAATGTGAATAAAGCTACATAGTACCCGTTACGATAAAAGCAACTACGCTGATTTCTATTATTTCCTGGCGAAGAGGAAAATATCACGCACGTTTTCCCATAGGAATACACAGAAAGACTGGAGAAGTAGTCTGGTTAAAGCCCCATAGACACTAGCGCCAGCTGAGCCTCTAGCGTTTATTGTGATAACTCTACGCATCACACAACTTATTCAAATGAGCAATGGCGCAAAGATGAGTTAATGAATGATCATACTAAAGTAAAACAAGAAAACGTGGAAAATTTCTTTCTTCAATAGACGCTTTGCAGCAGCTGTGCATGGGCGCCGCCATAGCTGACCTTCAGTTTTTGTTCCCCCTTATTACGTTTACTTCACTTCATTATTACCATAGCAGGCCAGGTTATTGACATCTTATATTTTATTCTGTCTTGCTCCCCAGCATTAGCCTTTGTGGAGGCTCGTCCACACAAATTTCAGTGGCTCGGTATCTCGGTAAAACAAGAGAAGGTCAGCAATGGCGGCTGTACTCTGGCGCGTGTGTAAAGCGCCTATATCCCCACGTCTCTGTTTCTTTTTTTTTTTAAGTATGTTTTTACGGCGTCTTACAGCGGAACAACGTGAGCCATGTGCGTAACCTTCGATTAGCGGAGTTGACAGGAGCGTTATTTATGGGATCTTATTGCTCCGTCACCGTCACTAGAGCAGGCATGTTCGATTTTCTGTGCTTGGCTGCGATGTCTGAAAAGGTATATTGATTATAAATTCCACCCTGCTTTCGTTGAGTGCACTCACGTCTCGATTTTTCCAGCATGCACGACTTTGACAACAACAACCTGTTGGACGGTCATGAAATTATGGCGGCCATGCACCACAAACACGAAGCTCGCCAGGGCGAGAGCGGAATGGTGCACGCTCATACCTTGGACGAGCTCATTGGTGAGTATTTGATCGATTCATGGAGCACTTTACTCATCGCTTCCGTGCGCCGCCATTTTAATTGCGTTAGCATTTAGTGCCCTGGTGCATGCAGTCGTCTTTCGTTTGGACGGTCGTGGCTTGGAATGGACTGGACCGACTGGTTTTCTGATACCGCCTGCGCGGTTCCTGCAGTGTTCTTTCACTCCGCTCGTTCGATCGTTACGTCCACTTTCCCTTTTATAAAAGGGAAAAAAATTCCTCTGGCACGTCTCCAATGAGCGCGTTGAGTCCGCACTTTTTTTTTAATCATACTCCGATGCTCCGAGTTTCAGACTCCGAGCGCAGCAACTAAACGGAGCGTAGCCTATAGGGAGTATTCACTGGCGGCCATAGCTGTGTGCGCGACTGCTGAGCGCGTGCTGACGGCCAGCTTCCACAGTTTTTTTGCAACTTGCATTCAGCACCATCAAGATTGCTGGTTTTAGCAGCCCATTAATGTGAGGTCGTTGTGAGCATGCGCTCTAAACATCACCCTCAAATATGGCGTCCAGTGAATACTTCCTATACAGGAGGGCGACACACCGAAACTGTGGAGGAGCCGCGTGATCGAGCCACTTCCGACCACTCGGTTACGACGAGCCCGGCATCTCGTGCAGTAGCAGAAATATTCTGTGGAACAGTAGAGTGTAAAGTAAACAAGACAGTGACATTATGAAGTTTTGTTTCAAATGTTTTATACTCCTGAAAGGTTTAGACTAGCTTTGACCGTATATGCAGCAAGTTACTTTGACCGATCGTTATATTTATTAACTATGCATCCTGCTTAGGTTTAAATGAAACACAACATACTTGAATTCGCTTTTCGACGCAGGAAACTGTCCAACTTGTCAGATATGTTTCGTATTGCAGCGCGAAACGGATCCGAGCCCGTCAATGTGCTACCGGCACACCATGCACCGTTCAATAAATAGCACATCAATTCGTTTTTAGGCGAGATGCACGAACAAACATTTTTCCGGAACACTAAATGATGTTTTGGCTTTCCAATCGAATAATTTTAATTCGCTCAACCAAGCGTTATAAAAAGGGCAGCGGTCCGACGGTTTTCTCATTTCGACAACTTCTTTGCCAATGTGCTATCGGAACGCTACCATTAGAAAGATAGCGCGTTAAATCACCAGAGAGTTTTCATAGATCAATTTCGCAGTCCCGCAACGCTCTCCGCAACCCGCTACGATACCCGAACTCTGCAGCCCAAGGCCATCAGCGCGCAGGCGCACTATAGTCAGTTACAGGTTAAGAAGGTAGCGGCAAATGCCCCTCAAAGGGAATCAGATATCCCTCCGCCACCTCCGCATCCAATAGCGTCCCACCGTTTCCGTGACGTCGCGGCCAACGCGCGAGGAGGGTCTTGCCTTTCTGTACATATTTGCTTTATCTTTCGACTTTGACTTAGCATTGTGGAAGCCACGAGAGGGAGATTAAAGTTCTCCCCCACCGACGGAAACAAATACGACTTTCGGGGATTAGCTTCCCCCCCCGATGGATACAAAGGCTGCTTTCAGGGGCTCGGTTCCCTCTCCGATGAATACAAAGGTCGCTTTCTTAAAAAGTGGGATCGGAGACAAGTGGGAATCCATTGAAGCGGAACAAGGAGCGTTTCCAGTGAACTCTTCTTTCGGCTGCGGAGAGATTTGAAACGGGCGCATTACGCTTGTGGGAGGAGCTTCTCCTACCTTCTTGACTTGTAACCGACTATAGCAGCCTCTTCGTTTCGGAGGGCTTAGCGGAGGGGGAAACGCGGTCGACGAAAACCCCCTAATTTCAGGCAAAATGCGCGAACAAACCTTTTCCGGAACGCAAATTGCTCTCTTGGCTTTCAAATGAAATCGCTTCTTCCTGGTGGATTAAGCACAATTGAAAACGTAAGACAGCTCACGTGTATGGATGATATAGCATTCCTACACGCTGCGCATTCGTACAAGCAGCGCGCCATATTTTCCTTTTTAACACGGCGCTCCTGCGGTGACATTACACTCCCTTACTGAGCAGGCCCGGCACCCCCGCCGGCTCCACGGCTTCCGCGACGATGCATCTTCGTTGCTGTTCTTTTCTTTGTGTTTTATTTTTTCTGAGGCGCGTCCACTTTACAGCCCATGGAAATTTATGTGCCGTTTCGCTCAGGCAATGGGTATTTAGGTGCCGTTTTTCGCTGCTACAGACATCAGTTAACGCTGGCTTCGCTCTATGGATGCTTTTGCATTCAAACTTCGTGCACGAAGAGAGCGCTAGAGCGTCAGTCTCCTGCGGCGCCGCGCCCAATGACGTGCCGTGGGGAGCGGGAGAAGAGGGGATCGAGCGGCCGTAGTGGTGGCACAACATACGCGACAGCGTAAAACCGAGGCGCAGCGACGACGCCGTTTACGCAAAACCGCCGACACCCGGGAGGAAAGATTGGCTGTCCAAAGATAACAGTATGCGGATCGTTGCGAGGTTGCAATTCCCATCCCTAGCTGAATCGGAACTCCTCCGCTAAATGTTTTCGTCGAGAATTAACGTAGCGACAACAGCGATTTCAGCATGATTATATGTATATATATGTATTTTTTTTGTTTACTGTGTTGTGGAACGCATTCTGAGCATACGCTGTAGCTCACGCAGTTTTTGCCTGAGTCACAAGCGCTAGAAAGGTGGATAGATACTCGGTAAACGGTTATGCCATTGTTTGATATGTTAATGCTATCCATTGATGAACACGGGACGTCTGAACAGAATCGAGCGGTATGCCACTTTCCCGTTTCACTATCTTCAACAATCATCAGCTGATGATTGTTGAAGTCATGGGGAGAGTCACATAACGTGTCCACTTTATTCAAAGACCCTAGGGTCTTTGAATAAAGTGGACACGTTATGTGACTCTCCCCATACGAGTTGACAGTATCAAACCTTTTTTGGACTTTCGGTGATTGTCAGGCTAAATAAGTTATCCTGGCCGTAGCTTGAAAACATAGGCGGTTCAGAACTGGTCAAAAGTGTATTAAAGAAAAATTCTAGGTATCCTCATATTTAAGTGTCCACGTTTCTTGTACTGCGGTAAAGTTATAGGCTAATATATAATCTAGGAAAGTTAAAAAAGGGTGGCCCAACTGTGAACCGATCGATTCTAAACGATGTTTGCTTTTATTTAACGCTTCTTGAGTAGGAAGTGAAGTGAACAAGCTTGTTGCAAAATGAAAACTATAACGTTTTCTTGGCTTAGAATTTCTAGAAACAGCACCACTGCTTGATGAAAAAGAAAATTAGAAAGTAACAAGTAACCTGGTTACTTCATGTAGCGAGTTACAGAGAAGTCTTATGACCGAATCATTTCGCTTTCTGTAAAAAAAAACAAAAAAAATTTATTAAAAAAAAAAAGAAGTTATGTAGCATTTGTGGTACATTTTCGGCTCCGATAGTCACGTCAGTATTATGCTGAGGTTTATTGGGTGTAAGTTTGATTCGTTTGAGAATGGGCTGCTTAGGACAGAATAAGAAATGACTGCTCGTTTGGTTTAATTAATCTAATTTATATTTTTTTTTTGTTTTCTATCGCAGAGCAAGCCGACTCTGCTCTCGAAGATGACATGAATCACGACGGGTTCCTTTCCTACCCAGAAATTCGAGCTGCCATGAATAAACGGCGCTAAACGTACACGTTACGTATACGCGACGCTGCGTATGTCATCTAGCTTGAGGTTTTTATACAAAAGTCGCTTACAGCTTACGAAACACAAGGTGCGTCGAGTCCCGGGCATTCGATTATCGGTCCTTGGCGAATGAGAGTGCAACATCTGTCGATAAGAACGCAGAAGAACGAATCACAATACAACAAGCGGGACCATAATAAGACACGCCCTGCATGTTTTAAGCTGTCGGTGAGGAATTGCGGAACATCGTCAGACATTGGTACAGCGTGATTGTCCGCGCTCCGCTCTGCCTCAGACTCAAGTATGAAGAAGCAGCAGTCGAGTTCTTAACACGGAATAAAATGAGTACTTATCTTGATTCAAATGGTTAAAGAACGTGCCGGGAAAAGATACGCTATTTACGCCGTTTGGGGGGTGCGAATGTGTGTTTAACTTTATGCAGCCGGCGCTACGAGGTAGGGGAACCAATCGAGCGCCGTCAAAAGTGCAAGTCACCATGCCTCTTTTGTTCACGATTGGTTCAGTGATGATAGACCACGTACATAAACGTGAAGAACAGCAGGGTGGTACGCTTTTGATGCTGTCTGATGGGTCCCCTCAGCTCGTAGAGTCGGTTGCGTCTGTACATAAGGTAAGCGAAAAGCAAAAGTATTCAAATCATGGCGTCACCTTTGAATGCTTGTCAAGGTACTACCGCAGGCAAATGGGGGACTAGTCGAACATATATATGCACAAGCTTTACAGAGACTCTTGTATTTTATTGTTGGTATGTAATAAAATATTTGGCTCCGGGACTAACGTCTTACTTATTGGCAACTGTGTATTCCAAACCACGCAGTTGTAAAAAAAAAATCTGTGCACGATATGTTTTTTTGTTTAAATACCGTAAACGACTAAAATTTTCGGGGGACCTAATTTTCGCGAATTTCGCGAATTGCCTACAATTCACGAAAAATACGTCCCGCAAACAATTCTGGCAATATGTGAACGCTATGGAAGCTACACTCGATTCGAGAAAATTAGAACCCCGAATAATTTCAAATTTCCAGCTTTGGTCCGATTCGCGAAAATTTGAGCTTGCGATAGTTAAGTCGTTTACAGTATATGTGTGTCTCTTTTACAAGGGTGGCACCTTCCACGGGTTTCTTATGTCTGTTCCTGTTCGGAGCACGTACAGGAGAACTTGTTGCATCGAACGGCTTTGGATAATAACTTGTTGCCACTTTCTTTCAATGTCTCTCTTGTCTTCGTATGATAGTGAGTGGGTACGAGCACACTGTTTACTACCGATTGGCACATGCGTGGACATTTAAATCGGGTTGTAGCTTCACTTTTCTAAATGTGGGTCACTACACACGCCCAGTTTCCAGTGGCCTCGCTCGTGTCACTTGGTCGTCAGCAGATATCAAGCATGGCGCCTCGGCGTGGTGCCCCAGATGTGCAAAAATGTGAAGCGTGCGTGTGGATGCGGCTTTTGCAGGCTTCAGCTGTTCTTATAATAAAGAATTCCCTTCTTCTCAAAGTCTTCAAGTGGACGAAGAGCGACTGAGAGAGAAAGAGAGAGAGACAGAGAGAGATAAGGAGTTCAGAACGTCCGGTGACGTCGGCGCGACGAGCTCTGATTTGAATAATTAGTGGGTAGAAGCAAAGGCTAGCTGGCTTTGTCTCTAATCACTGTCTCCCTCCAATCAGAGCGAACAAGACCGACGTGTGCACCCAGCGCGGAGTCTGGTATTCGGACTCCAAACGCCGGCGTCTACCCACTATCCTTTAAATCGGAGCTTGGGGTGCTTGAGCTGAGGAAACAAACAAACCTTTGTTCTATTCCCTTTCTGAAAATAAACTTCCTCTGGGTCTCTCATATTGTGAGAGACTATACATTTTTGCGGCATCTTCCATCCTCGAACCAACGAATAGCGTTGCTGTGAGCTCAGCCTCGCAGACTTGGAGGTTGAGACTGAGGCCCAAAAGCGGCGTACTAATCTCGCGTAGTCTAGAGGAAACGACACAAAAGGTAAAATAAATTTATATCCATTGATTTACAACGTTTTGGGCAATCAATCATGAATAGATGACAAACAGATATGACCTTTTCCAGAAAATCGACCTCTGATATTTCACAACGGTGTGTTTCTAGCAAGTTTTGAGAAAAATGCGGCGTATTTTACTGACTGTTCCGAGAATACAAGAAAGAATTGTCAGCCAATATTTGCATCATGTGTGTGATTCACACCATTACGGGTAATCAGTAGAAACGCAAAAACAAACCTTTTTGAGGAAATCTATGTAGAAAATATTAGATTGTCAGGTGTTTAACATATTTGGAGCAAGATATGTTGTTGTTTTTATAAATATCATTCATGAATATAAGTACTGTCGTTGTGTAGCTATGAATGTAATCTATGAACACAAATAGCTTATGTTCATAGCTACACACTTACAGTTTACGTTATGGCTCTTAATGTTTCATTTTCTACAACACTATGAATGTGAGCCAAAATTGTTCTGGTTAACACGTTTGCGATTTCGTAAAGCAATAACCACGAAAGCAGGTGATAGGGGGTTTCCTAGTAAGAGTGACCAGTAATGGTTCCCGCGACGTAAAGACATACTAGCAGTTAGGGTGAAATGAACAGTTAGTAAACAACGGCCAAAGTTGCGAGAGAAAACAAATGTTTGTTTTTGGCACTTCAAATTTGTTTTTAACAGCAGTAACTCTGAAAGAGAAGTTTCCTAAGTAGCAAAAATGAGCTATCACGTATACATTTTTTATCTATAGACTCTCCTCACCCCGTACATCCTGACAAGTTCGATCGGATTCAAATGAAATCACTTTATGATATCTGTGATCGGGAAATCTTTAATTAACATCCATAACAACCAGCGGCCTGCCATCACTCCTCAACAAAAGCAAAATGTATCCGGGGTTTCAAACACAGCCTGGTGAATGTAACACAAATAAATAAGTACGGAGATGCTGCATCGCCTTCATCTTTTTCGTTCGTGTGTCGGAAATCGTCTTTCTGTAATAATTGTTTATTTTCAGGACTTCCCCGGACTCACTTCAGCTCGTCTCCCGTCGTTTGAAGCGCCATCTAGATTTTCGTTTCAAAACTCTTTATGTCATATGGAGTACGGTAGAACGCCATCTAGACGCTGCTCTTCAAAGCGTACGTATTTAATAAGATACGCTGCAGTTCCCATCGCAGCCGTCCGGCGCGTCGAACGACGGGGGGCCAGCCGCGGTTACTGCTCGTGCAAGCAGCCTGTATGAGCAGTTGTGTAACTAAGCTATTCTAATGAGGTTAGTTTCAGCTCGAGCTTTCATTTTCTTCACATCACGCCGGTCCTTAAAATGAAAGATGTTCGGCATTGCAACGAAAGTACATTTAATTAAAATTATTTTAATATAGGCGCTACTTCAAAGTATTTAGTAATAGGGGATCTTGTTACTGTTTACCACTGCTTTCCTGCTCGTTATAAAAGACGAAAAAAAATATATATATCGGCCATGCAGCATATTTTAGAGGAATATGACCTGTTATATATGACAACCCATTGATTTCCATCGTTTTACGAAATGCGCTCCCCAGACCCTACACGCCATTTCATTGTCGCCGACATACGGCAAGAGCCCCGAGATTGTAAGGACAGAGTATGGCAAATTTGATAAAAAGACGAGGAGTTATACAGCCGTGCCGTACCCTCGACTGCTTCGAGTACACGCAGCTGTTCTCCGAAAGCCGCCCAGTGCACGCCCACCACGTTCCTCGCACCTGCGACGTCGTGGTGACGTAAGTGTGCCTAGATGCCATAGTGTTTGCAGCTGCTCGATTGAGATCACGTGGTTTATGAACCTCCTTTGCAATATGAGCTGCGAAGAGGCGACGGAAGCGTAGATCGTCTGCAAACGTCTCTGCCTCTCCTTTCGCTTTCCTCCTCGCTACGCGACAACATGACGCATGCCCACTTGCGTCCAATCGGTGCAGGAGGCGTCTTCCATTAAATTGCAAAGAATCCCAATGGCTCAAGTTACTCCCTCTCTTCAATCTGGGCTCTCTAGCTCACGTCACACCAGTTAACAGACGCACAGATTCGCGACGGAGGGCAGAGCAAAGCTGGGAAAGGTCGCGCACAAACAAATGATAAAGTGAGCTCCGGTCTCGCCGCTATCATCATCATCATCACCGGGATAGGCGCATGTGCACCGAGGGTAACAACGTTGTCTGTGCCGACGCGTCGGTGGCTCCTGCCTTTCTGCCTTTCTTCGCTCCGATATCGTGTAAAAGCTACGTTTAGTGACACGTCGCTCTTTTTTCGAAGCGCTCAATTTTCGTCGTGGACTCGAGGCCGGTTGCGGCTCGTGCGTCATGTCGGGTTCCTACTCCCACCGGGTCTTTGCAGCGTCGATTTGTGCGCTTGTATTTGGCGTGAGTCTGACCACGGCTCATGACCACCAGCAGCAAGCGGCGGTGCCTATTTCTGGTGACACGAAATCCGAGAACACGGTAGTTGCGAACGAAATGAAAAAGAAGTGGAGTGCGCAAGATGTGGTTCGAGACTTGGAGTGAGTTCCTTTTCATTATTTATCCGCGCTTAGGTTTGCAACTTGTACACGATGTTCCCCACTACGGGTGTAGGCGCTTCGCCGAAATTGTGGTGGTGTCTGTCTACTGCGCTTGTATCTTTTTTTTTTTCTAAGTTAAGGTTGCGTAACGTTAATTTGTTTTACCGTTTTTTTTTGTCTTTTTTTACATTACGAAGTTTACGTACGCATTAGTCACGATACGACCGCAAGCCACCAGCTCACTCATGCTGCGTACTAAGCACGTGTGCCGGTGACTTGCGGTCGTATCTCGAAGTAAACGCACGTAATGCTTCGTAACGTAAGAGAACGGCGCTGTGTGAAGCAGCGTTTACTTTTCGGCATAAAAATACTTGCAAGTGAGCATACCAGGAGCAGCAATCGCGAGCGCTACGGAATCATGTCATGCAGTGGTCATAATGCTGCAGCGAAGCTTGCCTAAAAATGCTACGCAACGGCTAAATACATTGTTTTCAGTCTCATATATTTCGATATTTCAAGACTAAGCTCAACCTATGACAGCGCGGGATTTTTGAAATGACGTACTATAGCGGGCACTACGGGTGCAAAGAACACGCCATATATTTTCTTCATGATCCTGTTTCCGAAGCCCAGGCGTGGGCTGGAAGGCGAAGAAATTTAGGTCCCAGCCTTCGAACATCCTAGCAAATTGAAAGGTAGCCGTATTATAAAAAAAGAAAACATATCTGCTCGTACGGCGTATATCCCATAATACCACCTGAAATAATCACACGATATATTATGTTCAACGCACAGGTCAATTCGAAGTATCGCCACGGTTGTTGTTGTGGGGCAAAAAGTTGTGATAAAACAAATTTTTCTACAAAAAAAAAAAAAAAAAAAAGATTGCGAAATATTAGGCTAGGTGGCGCAAGCTGCCGCCCGTTACAAAGGGCCATTACTATCCATCCATCCATCTGTCCAGTAACATTGATGGCCGCCATTTCTTGGGCAGGAAGCGCGTGATGGGATCTAAGACTGACTGAGCCATCGTGTCCAATACATGCTCAGTGTACGTGCCCAAGTAACGGCGGACCGGTGATGGCGCGGACTTTGGAAAATGGTCTAATATGGATGTTTTAGTTAAATCAATGTGGCGCACAACACCGACACTATTTTTGCGTGGTTTATATCATTATATGGTTTGCGTGGTGCGCGTATAAAATAAGGAACGTTGTCTCGAGCCACCTAGAATAGACTTATCTTGAAACTCGAAGCGCTTCATCGCGGAGTAATCCCACGTTATGCATTGTGGGAAGCAGTGGGAAGAAAAATGCATACGCGCTCCGCTCCTGGGCCCCAGGTTTCCAGAATGAAACGCGCGCGGTGACGGATTTATGAAAATAGTCTATCGTGAAATCCGCTGACAAAAAGAAAAAGAAACCTATTTAATTTATAAATTTCTCATTAAAAGGGTATTTCATATTTTATTATGGTAGATAGCGCGTGTGGGTGCTTATGTTGTTTCTTTTCGTTTGACGGGGGTGACTCGTGACAATTGGAGGCACTGCATGGATCCAATCGAGTGGTGCAGTTCGTAGTGTGGAATGGGGTGGCTGGTGGAGAAACGGGTGGAGGTTTATTTATACGGCACTGCAGCGGTATCAGAGATGCACGCATGAGAGCGTAGCTCCACACGCTTTTTCGCACGAGCACTCGTGAGTGGAAATCGCTTTATACGGGGCTTTCAAAGACGTCACATATGTCAACAGTCATTATGAAGGACCTTGCTGCTGAGCGCGTACCTTCTGCGGCACACACACACACACACACACACACACACACACACACACACACACACACACACACACACACACACACACACGCACACGCACACGCACACGCACACGCACACGCACACGCACACACACACACACACACACACACACACACACACACACACACACACACACACACACACACACACACACACACACACACACACACACATATATATATATATATATATATATATATATATATATATGGCACCACGGAACGGTTTTTGTCGGCAACAAGTAGGAATGGCCATTGGTACGGAGCGATGACGCAATACCACCTGGAAGACAAGGCCAGCCCGTGACGTCGCCGGTAGTGGAACTTTTGAGCATGATTAATCCACTGCATGAAGTAGTCCTTCAAAGATCTGGTTGTCGGAGGAAGAAACTATATGATTCTAGCGTTTCAAACGTCTACGACTTCATAAAATAACGGCAAGCTAATCTAAAAATCACCCACATAGATCTTAATTTGCCACATAGAGGAGTCAATCAGTAAAACACCGCAAACAGCGGGACTTTCTTTTTTTTTTTTGTACTACGGTTATAGACGATTGCAAGCAAGGCCACTGGCCACCGCCATGTCTCTCCTGGTGCGGACAAGCCCGTGCAATTACAAGATTGACAAAGCTATTTCCACGCGCAAGCGGCACGTGCTAGCGCTCATGAGTCACTACCAGTCGGGGCGCCTTGCTCGCAATAGTCTATAAGTGCACTCTTAGAAAAAAGGGTCAGTATAGTCCTCCCTAAAGGGAGGAACGCTCTTGACACATATGTTCCTTCAGAAAGGGAGCAACTTTCGTCCCTTAAGCAGGGGAGCAAAAGTTCCTCCGTCGACTGCATCTCAATATGGCGGCCACGAATCGAGGAAATCGAGCTCGAGAAGGCTTAACGAGAACACTAAGTCTATTGTACGAAGCGAGAGGAGCACCAAATAAAAACGTAACACGAGCTTTCGGCGAACTATATTTATTTCCGAAGTTTCTTTACCCCTGCAGGTAAAGAAACTTACGTTTCGAATCCATGCAGTCACTCAGTCTTCTCATTGTCAGCACTGCGATGTTCAACGGAGACAACCGGCACCCAGTTCGCGCACTTTATGTCTTACCTTTGCTATTCCTCGAGCCACAATTCCTTCGTCAACCGTTGCGTCAACCGCACATCACGGAGGAGTGAAAACCATTCGCCCGCAAAACCAAAAGCCGCTCTCAAAAAAAAAGCAAATCCGAAGCAACCTCTTGGCTTATCTCAGCACGGTAACACGAAATTATGGCGTAGCCGCGTAGCGTAAAAGGATGTTAAATCGCTTGCCACCAGATGGCAGGGTCAAGCAGAGTAATCGCGAGTAGCTAGGCTAGGTGGCGCTAGGTACCGTCCAACTCATGTTTTGCAAAAATGTTTCTATTTTCTTACGCCACAATTGCGTTTCCTTTTCTTCGGGAATCCCTAACACATGAAGACACGTTACGCACACTACAAGCATCAGGTGAACATATATTGAGCGCATATACAGGCATCGCACATACAAACATCAATACAACAGCACACTACCCCGATCACTACTCCCGAGCCCTGGGTTTCCGTCTTTTATACTGGTCGTTTTGAACGTACGGAATTTTTCGGTGACTCCCTAAGCAATAAAAAATATTCCGAACATGTTCATTTTTGTCCAGCAATGTCATACATCTGAGACTACTTTTAATGGCTCAGGGGATGAAACTCTTATTAAAAAGAAAACGCTCGATCATGCCGTAATTATTTGAAAGCCAATAAATCGAGCCGCTCCAATGTTGTTCGAAGCCATGAGTTTGTTTTCCCGCACGGCCCTTCGTAGCCAGTATTTATATTGTAGTGTTTGTTTTTCTATTTGTGCTGTTCGCGCACGGCTGCAATTGCAATCTTGAATTAATCTTTGTAGAGCGGATATTCACTCAGCTGGAAGTGATGCTTCACGGGCAGAGAAATCGCTTTTCGATCAACTTGAATGCAGTCAAAGCCGCGACTTGCGGCAACTGTTAAATGTACCGAGCTACGCCGTTGCGAGCTCGAAAACGTCTAGCGCTCATCCCAGCACCACTTGGAGGGCAGTTTCTACAGGAACCGTAATATATTTAAACAGTAAAATAAAGGATAGCGTTTTTTTTTCGATTTTACCTTTTTTTTTATGCTAAACTTCCATTGTAAATATACGTACTTTCCGTCATAGGTACTTTCGTACTGTTCAGTCTTTTCTCCAGAGCGCAATCGCTCTCGGGGACCGACAGTCACATTGGCCACTGTACGATAGGAGCTTACCGTTCAGACCAGCGTTCCAACATGACTATCCACACGTCGATCGACTGCACCTAATCTCTCAAGTGGTTTTAAACTCTTTAATGTAAAGCGGAATGCCATCCTGCGACACCCCGCCCCCTCCATTCACGGCCCGACCTGCGGCATCGATGCCCGACAGTTTACGTCATCTCATCTTGTTGTTACACCACTGATACGCGAACGCACGGTCACATCGGCGATAATTCCAGTCTTCTGTTCACAACCCACAACACTGCCATCACGATGTCGCTGACACGCAGAAATACAGAACCACGTTGACGATGTTGCTAACACGCAGAAATACGGAATCACGTTGAATGCCGGTTGGCACTCGGCACGGGACAACAGAACCGAACTCAGCACGGAAGGCACCCAGGCAGCCGGCAGGAAAACCTGCCTGTCTTGAACGCAGTTCCCGCGATTTCCATAACGTCGAAAACGTCGACACAGTTCCTCGTGGTTTCGCTGCTGTAGTTCCGCGTGTGTCCCGCAAATCGCGCAAATCGGAGACGGCCGTCCACTGATCTCTATGACAATTGCTGGATCGCGCTTCCCCGCTTGTTCGCTGCAGCGCGAGTGAAGCCACCGGACTTCACTCGCTTGGGATACGATTTGCCGTTTTTGCTAGCCTTTGCTGCGGTTTTCCAGCGTGCTGTAGACACGTTTTCTACTCGTTCGTCGTATTTCGCCGAAGAAGTTTTTTGAAGACTCCGTGTATTGTTGAGACTTGCTGTTGTGAACACGTGGAAAATTTGACGAAAGTGCAGTGTCGCAGGAAAAAGGCACAACGCGTCGAAAGGAAGGGCTGGCGGCGTGTTCAAAGCTTCCTTGGCACGCCGAAGTGCCGTGTCTCTGTGCCTTCGCACGGTTGGATACCGTCCAAGAACCGACGCCGTGTTTATGTGTTTAGCGAGTGCAATGTGCGTGAAGCTGTTCGTGCCTCTGGATCAGCGTCTTTTCCCCTCGCGGTTTAGGAACGAGCTTAATCCAGCGTCCACTAGCGACGGAAGATGGGGGGAAGGTACGTCTTTTTTTCGTCCTTAGACGATTTACACAATAAAGTGCACAACAGCTCCTCATCACTGATCAGTGCTGGCTTATTATCAACCTACTTAATTGCACTTGACGTTTGAGCGCGGCTCGCCTAATTGTAATTGGTCAACAGATTGCACACGACCATATCGGCCGCGCTTCAAAGATTTTCATTCTCGCCGTCTTGTACTTTTGCTTTCGAAAACCCCCCTGGCTCCACAACGTTGCCCTATTCGTGCTCCCACGGAATCTATTAGAGTAGATTTGGGACATAGCCATGGTTAATATAGTACATAAGAATACGTACGGATCTCCCCCTTTTATTGATAGCAACTCACCGGAACAGCTGGACGATCCAGAACTCCGTGGCCGATATATATAAATGATCTAAAAGCATCTACGCGCGACACACGTTCAGAACTTTGGCGCGGCGTCAATACTTGACCGGTATCCAAGCGTGCGAAGGCACAAAGATGCATCACTCGGCGTGCCAAGGAAGCTTTGATCACGCCGCGACACCGGCGACACTTGTTTTCGACGAGTTGTACCTTTTGATACGGCTTCACGCACATTGCACTCGCAAAACACATCCACACGGCGTCGATTCTTGATCGGTATCCAGAGCTGGCCAAATACTCATAATTTGTAATTAAATTACATTACTAATTACTTTTTTGAAAATTGCTGAAATGTAATTAAATTACATTACAAATTACCACAGCCAGAAAGTAATTAATTACCATTACAAATTACTTTTAAATGTAATGACATTACTTTCGCATTACTTTTGTATACATTTAAATATAAAAGAGCTATTGATAACTTCCTTTTACAGATAACTTTATTTACATTATTTACACAGTTCATGGCACACAGCTAGAACTCTCTGTTGCATGTTTACCGATGGACAGAGGAACGCACGCGACTGATCCGTTTCCCACCCCAACCCGGACAACTATTTTTGGAAATGACTGAGGACCCTACGCGGATTATCTCTGGGAGGGGGGAGAACAATTGTCATTGTTCGCAAAATCGCGTCGAAGGCCGTTCCACCAGGGGCCTTAGTTCGACCTACTTCCACTCCTTCGTTTCCCGAGAATGTCGAGCAGAAAAGCTGGAATGGCAGGAACTTACCAGCCCTATTTCTCACAGTGGTAGATAACACAGAGAGGGTACGCAGTATGCATCAGAAAAAGTAAGCGGAAACTTTCAAGAGGGGCCAGAAAATGCCGAATGCAAAACCGCAAAACATAGGTACAGAATCGCGCTGAGCGGGTTTTCACAGTTCAAGAGAGTGGCAGAAAACGTCTAGCTGATAGCGGGCGCGAGAGTCGCACCAGCCGCATTAGCATCAGCAACATAGCGGCGGCCAAAGAGCGTTTTTTGGAAAGGTGCAGAGGAAAAAGAAAAAGTAAAATAAAAAGAAAAGCGCTTTTGTGTATTGTGGACACAAAAAATATGCCTGGTGCGAAAAAGTAATTAGGTAATTTAATTACAATTACCGTCGCTGGAGTAATTCATTACATTACTAAATTACCTGCTACAAAAAGTAATGAATTACATTACTAATTACTGGAACAAGTAATTAAATTACTGTAATTTCATTACAGTAATTGCATTACTGCCAGCTCTGTCGGTATCCAAGCGCGCGAAGGCACAGATACACGGCACTTTGGCGTGCCAAGGAAGCTTTGAACACGCCGCCAGACCCTTGCTTTCGACGAGTTGTGCCTTTTTCCTGCGACACTGCGCTTTCGTAAAATTTTCCACGTGTTCACGACGGCAAGTCTCAACAATACACAGAGTCTCAAAAACTTCCTCGGCGAATGACGACGAACGAGTAGAAAACGTGTCTACAACACGCTGGAAAACCGCAGCAAAAGGCTAGCAAAACGGGAAATCGTATCCCAGCGGGGTTGGGTCCGGTGGCTTCACTTGCGGGAGCGGCAAGCGCGATCCAGCAATTGTCATTGAGATCAGTGCGGCCGTCTTACCCAGTGTATGTAGAGCTGCTGGCACTGCTCCGGAACTTCGCTGCTTTTAGCGGCTTCGTTAGCTCGTTTGATAAAATTAGTGGTAAAAACGTCAATGCAACCGAAATGTTCTGCACGTTTGGACTAGAAGACGGAATTACAGGTGGCCTTCGCTGCCGCTGAAGCTCAATTAACTCAACATTAATTTATTAAACAACGTGCGCGATGTGCTCGAAAAACGAAACCGAAAGAAGACGAGTCGGGAGGGCGAAAGCTTTCTCCGGTCTGCCCGGAGGAGGAAAACGTCTCGGTGAATATTCAGGACTTTAATTTTCCTTTCATCGGTCTGGGTTTGTTTATGCGTGTTTTGGTAAATAAAAATTAAAAAAAAAACTTGACCAAAAAAAAAAAAAGCCCGCACCTCTGAGGATCGAACATTTGACCACTTGGTCAGTACGCGATGTTTTACCCCTGCGCCAACTCAACAAGGAAAAACTCGTCCTCCTCTATTCATCCGAACTGCCGTTCCTCCCTTCTCTGGGCAACTTCTCCGCAACAAGGAGGAACAGTCCCTGTTGCTACCTTTCTCTTCCTTTTTTTCTTAGAGTGTGGTGTTGGACGATGTTACGCGCAATCCACGCGTCAAAGCGCTCTCTTGTTTTGCTTTCGATGGCACTGCACACCGGCTGGTGCCCCGCACGCGCAAGCCCATGCAGCATGCCCGTGAGTCACTTTTCCGCATTAACAAAAACTCGGCAGTAGCTAGCTGTGCCTGTTCACGCGCTTTGCTCGCTTTCCTAGACGAGAAACCCACGCGGCGCGAAAACGTTAGCGTTGCGAAAAGTCGGGTGATAAGATGATCACCCGCCTTTTCGCAACGATAGACGTCTGCCTGTGGCACGTGTAAAAACTTTGGCGCACGCCCGCACTTCCTACGTGCGTTGAGTCTTTCTAAATTTGCTTTAGTAGTTTTCAGTGACGCTCAGCAAGTGTCTAAGCGAAGTAGTACGTTTATTTTCACTAATGAAAAGGTCACTTGATATATTCTAGTTAAATATTTGATGATCGTGAGGATTAGCCGCGATGTTATGTCCCTCTGGCGCCGTGTAACTCGCCTGCACAGACCTTTCACGGAGTTTTTTTTTTTTTTAATATATTTGTTCGAATTAAAATTTAACAACCTGTAAATAACAACAATATAAGGTTAAAAAAAAGAACGTAGATGCGTTTTAGTTAATTCGGAGTGCATAACCACGTATCGCAATCTCGCGAATATTTGTGACTGTGGTGAGCCACTGCTTTGGGCGACCTAGAGCCACTATATGAGCTGCGCTTAGAGTATCGGCACTCCGTTCCCCGACATTGTTGTGGGCGCCGCCATATTGGGGCTTGTGCAGAGCAGACGCAACTGCAGATCGTCATGATTCAAAAGGGCGACTTCCTCAGCATTCGATTCGGTGTTAGAAAGCTCATGTAATATTGCTTTTCTCTGTCGCGGTCTATTTAAACATTTGTGGAGGACGGAAAAGCGTTTCCTGTGATTTCAGATAAAGCTTCAGATAACTGGAAACCATGATTTTAAGCCACAATATGGCCAAGTGTCGTTACTCTGAAGCGTAGCTTATTTAGTGGCACTAGGGCGACCATGTAGCTTTTGGCACAAAAATGGCGGTCCTCCCACGAGTTGCTGCCACGTAAACAAATGTCACGTGACTCTAACGGGTGAAGGACCGTTGTGTTGGCGTCGGACAAAGTGGCGAAAGAGTGTCGATACTCTGGGCATATAGCTTTTTAGGGACTCCAGATAGTATCTGACAGCTAATGAAGCACCGTGTGTTCGGCGAGGCCCATGCATCTTAGAACCGGTCGGCAGCCAATGAGATTGCGGTGTTAGCCGATGAGAACGTCGATGGACCAATCAGAATGTGTGAACACAAGAGGCAACGCCCTGTGTTTCTGAAGTTGGCAGTGACTGTAGCTACCTCCGGTCAGGTTTGTCCAGAGCCAGACAGTTTCCAGAGCATAAACTTTGGAATGTTCACTTATTTTTCTTTAGGCACATCAAGCAAGACCTGGCCAAGATGATAGAGCTAGAGGGCGCCGGAGCTATGAGTCAGCAGGAACTGGCGTTCTACTATTTACGGTGAGGGAAGGTCTCTGAAAAAACGAGTTTGGAACCTTGAGTTTAGTCTAGAGTCTACTATATACAATCCCTTTCAATATTTCATTCTCTTTCGGTACAGCTAAAAATAATTACGTGTAAGGCGTAAAAAAAAACCGTTGAGCGCATAAGTTTATAAGCTTTTCACTTCCAAGCAACCGTGCGTGAAGCCTTGAACATCAGCATATTTTTAAAACGCTCTAAAACAAACAAACGAACAAAACTTTATGTCTTGACTTAGGTACGCTTTTCTGCAGCTGTGCATGGGCGCAGCCACCAGTAACCTTCATTTTTAAATGCGTTAGCATTTCACAGGGCTGGCACCACAGGGCTTCTTGAAATGAGCAATGCGCATAGCCAAGCCGGTGAACGATCGTCAGTGGCTTCGGGACTGTTCGAAAGATGGAGGGGCAAAGTTCTTATTCTTCCCACCCCCGTAATATTTGTATGAAAATTTTTAAAATGTGTCTGGGGGCAATCGCCCCGCCTCTTTTCCCCTGTTCCGATGCCGCTGACGATCACACTAAAAAAATCCAGAGATCTTAAAGAGAAAAAGAAAAAGTAAAAACTTTCTTTCTTTTGTCTGCAGATCCCTACATTTTTTTTCCCCTTTTATTAGAGTGATCACACGGCTTCTCTAAGTCAGGAAGGTTTAAACTCTGAACGTCGCCCTTGACTCACAAAGTTGGCAGGGATATTGTTCTTACATCGCCGCCATTAAAGCAGGCACGTTCGAGCTTCTGTGGCAGCCGCTAGATGTCTCTGACTTTTCAAGAGGCGCACTAATTGTAAAGTTGTCATTACATATGGCCTGACTGGAATCACGTCTGAATCTATCCAGCATGCACGACTTCGACAACAACAACCTGCTGGACGGTCACGAACTTATGGCGGCCATGCACCATACGAACGAGGCCCATAATCATGACGGGGAGGGTCATCACACAGACGTGGACGAACTAATAAGTGAGTACGCGATCGACTGTGTACGCGTTGTGCTGTCATGGTATGGACTGACAAATTCAGACAATCCCGGTGCACTATTTGAGCCAAACTGCGCCAAAGTGCTTACTCCGCTACATCCTGCTACATTTCGCCAAAATGTGAGGAATTCAGGCCACAACATTGCGCCAAAAACTAATTTCACTTTATTTACTCTGAAAATATAGTAACGCAGACACTTCCGCATTGCCGGATCGATTCCTTCAGCTTGTGGGAATGTTCAGAACTTTTAACGATCGCCTCTAATAACGACGATCAATACATTTTGCCTCCTAGATTGTAACTTCTTTTATTCGGCGATGAAATTAAAAGGCGTTACGTTCAAATGAAAGTTCAGAATCTCCTTTTTCCCAGGATCTCATAACTTTTCAACATAGACCCCACCGACAGCGATGCCCTTCCGCCACCGACGCACTATATAGTCTCCGCATGCCGTCGTAGATGATAAAGGGCGGCTGTTGACGACACCAACGGCGAACTAATCGGTAACCTCGTCGTCAGCCGCAAACCATACCCTTTAGATGTTCCGTTGTCTTGAAAAACAACTAAAAGCCTGATGGCGCTTGGTCCGGGTTGTGAGGTGAATGAGGCAAAACATCTTGGAACTGCAGGTCCCCTAGCGCTGTGTTGGTCTCGACAACAGTCACCCTCAATCATCTACGACGGCATGCAGAGAGTAGAGCATAGGTAACGAAAGTGCGTCGCCGCCGTTGGAGCCTTTGTTGAAAGGCGATGAGCTCCTGGGAAAAAGGAGATTCTGAACTTTCATTGGGATGTAAGATCTTTTAATACCATTGCCGAATAAAAAAAGTTACAGCCTAGGAGGCAAAACTTATTGGTCACTCCTCGTGCTACTCGATTCGACCTCTCTATCAAACAGTGAGGGTACTCTGAAGTTTCGCAATATTTCTCATGTCATAGCAAAAAAACTCCAGAAAAAAAAAAATAGAAAAAAGAATAGAAAAAAAGTCACCGGCACATCTGTGCTTCGTATGAAGCGTGCAATCTAATTCAAGGAATCATCTTGGTACGCGATATAAGCAGCAGGAATGTCCTGGTTTCTCGCTGCCACAACGCAGTCAAACGCAATCAAACGCAACTGTCTGAACCAGGCTTTACTTATAAAGCCGGAGTCACACTGCTTATAGGGAGTATTCACTGGCGACCGTATCCGTGTGCACTGCTGCTGAGCGCGTGCTGACGGCGAGCTTCCACAGTCCTTTTGGAGAGTGCATTTAGCACCACCAAGGTTGCCGGTCTTAGCAGGCTATTAATGTGAGCTCGTTCTGAGCATGCGCTCTAAACATCGCCCTCAAATATGGCGTCCAGTGAATACCTCCCATAGACAATTGCAAGCTGAGCGCCCCGACTGTTTTTTTCATGGGCACCAGCACGCGAAGCGTGCGCGTGAACGTGGCCTTGACAGGCTTGCAATTGCATGTCCTTGCAGAGACATGGCGGAGGTCGGATGTCGTGCTTACAATCGTCTATTAGCGGCGAGATGCTTTGGTGGCGCCCTCCTGTGGTTTCCCCTCGTGACGTTACCTTACGAACAACAAGTTCCACGGTGTTTATAATTAGCATGGTGAAAGCTTGAGATCATTGCGCTCTGATATCAACATTGCCAACACCGCCAAAATTGAAGTTCTTACATTACTCTTATTTCTGTCGATGAGAAACCTTTGCTGACGTCATAGTCAGCATTTGGCCAATCGTGGAAGGCCGACCACAGCGACGCTTTTGATCGCGCACGTCTCCAATACATCATAAAAAAAGACAGTCTGCGAGTCACCGTGAGGTCCATGTTTCGAATGCCGCACGGCATTGAATTGAAGGAGAAAACTTTGCACGCGGCATTCGAACCACGGATATCGCGGTGGCTCGTGTTTGCCGACTGTCTATATGTATAGGTATATAAAGGAACTTGGGGGGGGGGGGGGGGGGGGGGGGGCTGAATGCTTATGTAACAACTGTTTATTGAACGGCAGCGTACGGCGTTTGGCGTTTGCGTGAGAACGCGTTCGACGAGTGCGGTGAAGACAAAGGCAGCTAGCTTTGCGTCTACCCCCTAATCCTTCCAACCAGAGTTCGGCCGTTCCGACGTTCCCCCCATCCTCTCTCGTCTCCTCCTCTCCCTTTGTAGTTTATACCCGCATAGTTTTGTCTGTACCGTGCCAAAATTTCATGCGCATTTTTTTTTTGTTGTTGTTGAGGTTGTGATGACGATGACAACTCGTTTGGTTTTAGATATCCCGTTTAAAACATATTTTTTTCGTCTTCTTTCAGGACTCGCTGACTCTGCTCTCGAAGGTGATCTGAATCAGGACGGGTTCCTGTCCTACCCAGAAATCAGAAGTTCATTGGATAAACATCCATAAACGTACGCGACACTACGGATGACATCTAGTGTTACGTGTTTATATGACATTGTTAGACGGGGTCACGGAGCTGGCTAATCATTTGGTGCAGCGGGAGCGGGAGCGCGCCACTTTGCCTCGTTTTGTGTGGTGGCACAACAGTGAAGCTCTTATAGTGAACTAAAATACATATTTATTTGGGTTAGAATGAGTAAATTATATGTTTGGGAATATACGTCACTTATATTGTTTTCGAGTAAGATTATTTGTTTAAAGTTTATCCGTTTTTAGTTCGAGAACATGAACCCAGTCTCAAAGCAAAATTTGTTACCCATCGGCACATTATTATTAAATTCTTGTCAAGATGACACATCAGACAGGCGGTGAAGTAGGACATATGCGTGCAAGCTCTTTTGAGTTTTTCTTATTGTTGTAATAAATATTGATATGCAAGACGAATGTTTCACTTATCGGCCATTGTTTAATACAAATATTGGATTCGCGACAAACGATATCACTGGACGACATCGTTGACCTCATGAACGCCTCCCTTATCGCAAAGGCTGGTCACGTGCTGAGCTTTAGGCAGTGTTAGAGTTTGGTTATTCCCGGAACCGCAGTCATCGGACACCAGTCACTATCTGAATGTGTGCTGACGTGTTGATTGCCACGAGCCCAAGTCGGTGCTGTTGCAGTGCTATGCAACCATAGCAGCGAGCATTTTGCAGCAACCCGAGACCGAGGAAATACGAAAGATGACACCTAGATAAGAGAAGGAGAACGTCCCTTCAGTGCTCGTGTCTAATCTTTGAGCCGTTAACACTGCCATACCCATTAATGCCTTGTCAAAAGTTTGCAAGGTAGACAGTGAAAGAAAATAATTCGGCTTTATACTTGAAATTACACGGCGGGAAAGACGCTTTGGGGTTAGCGGCGTTGAGTGCGGGTGGGCTTACACTGGTGTCAGTAACAATGTATGAATTAATAAACATTCTAACCCAATTTCGTTGCGGTGCCACTTTGCGCAAGATGTCGAAAGAACAAAAAGCAACCGCCCAAAATTTAGCGCCCCAAAAAATGCGTAAGAACGAGGTATTTTATTCTACAACGCCATTTTGGTCTCTAAATTATATTCAGGAATCAGAACCCGTGAAACGTCTACTGATGAACAACTACAATGCCATAAGAACACCCCGATGTATTGCATGAATTCAATAGACGCTTTACACACGCGCCAAATTACAGCCGCCGTTGCTGACCTTCTCTTGTCTTACCGAGATGCCGAGTAACTGAAACGGTAGTTGACGATCCTCTACAAAGGCCGATGCTTTAGAAAAAGACACAGTTGAATCTTGAATGGCGATAACCTGGCCTGCTATGGTAAAGATGAAGTGAAATAAGCGAAATAAGAGGAAACAAAAACTGAGGGTCAGTTATGGCGGCGTCCATTAACAGCTGCTGCAAAGCGTCTATACCCTCCTGTTTGACCCTATATTACTGAAGCAACCTGAACACAGAAATAAAAGAAAAAGAAGTGCAAGGCTGTTCTGGTTTTGTCCCTGTGCAATGCACATCTTACTATAAAAAGCGTCGGCACACAAAAAATGTTCTTATTCACGCGTAAAAACAATACGTTGAATCAAAAAATCTATTTACTCTTATTAAAAAAAAAAAATGCTTTAAAGGAGAAATGGCGGGGGCGACTTCATGAAGAGGAATTAGTGAACGGGGCAACAACTTACAACATTCTCAGTTCCTTAAATACTCCTCCTCCCCTCCTTAAATATCCCTCCGCATTTTGCGGCCACCAGTCGCGCTGACCGGCCACCGAAAACGACGCACTCTATTCCCTAATTACGGCTCATGCCTGAATCGTCCAATGGTCTTTGTAGTTTGTATCCACAGACATCAATAAACTGAATTCACTAGGCTACTGGAAAATGTGTCTGTAGTTGCTGTAGCCAGCCCACCACTGCCAAACTGTAAAGCTTAAAGGCCTGTTCACACATGCAGCGGAGCGCTACAAGCATAGCGCTTACCTCGCGCTAAGCGCGTGCTGACGTTAGCGTTCACCAGCTTTGTATCGCACCGTCAAAACTGTTGCTCATGGCAGACGATAAGTAGCTGACGGCACGTGAGGAGCGCTACATCAGCGCTTCGCTGCATGTGAGAACTGGCCTTGAGTCTCCACTAGGGTGCCTCAATGACCTTGTGTTTAGAGTGATGCCACTCTTTGTAGTACCCGATGCCGACAGCACGCGCTCACGGGGAAAATACAAAGAAATCGACGAAAACAAAATGTCGCCATAGCACAGTCAGCGCCACAGACGCGTGCAGGGACACGCTCTTTCACGCGCTTCTGAACAAAAAATAAATGTAAAAGTGGGAACAAAATGGCCAGATGTCTCCACCCTAAGCAAAGCGCACATGAAGGCACCCTAGTCTCCACTACTTGGCGTCAACAATGTCGTGCTACGCTGTCAAGGATAGCCTAGCTCCAGCAATGTTTCAACGTTATCAAAGATAGCACGAGCGCGTACGAACGTGACACGAGTCAAAGCTACATGTTCTCGCGGTAGGGCGGGAATCTAGCACTATGCAATCTACGCTAGCCTTGACAACGTTGCAGAAAATCATTGTCGCTAAGTATATGGAGTACACTCTAAAAAAAGCCCGTGAGTCTCCTTTGCCGCACAACACTCGGAGAGCCAATTACCGCGACTTACGGAGGCAGCTCAGCGAATGACGATGCCGAAACATATGTTTAGACCAAACGACGCAGTCTGAGTTGTGACATTGAGGCTGCGGTCCCACGGCAGCCATCTTGAACAAGGCTTTAGTTCAACCAATAGATGGCGACACGCACCCGTGGGGTGGCCGAAACATTGGTTCACAGTGGGATGGCTCGAGCACCATCACGTTCCCCTCGTGGCCTTGCTCGCGCCGCTGCCAGCTGTGCTCAGCTAGCTCAAGTAGCGTGGCCTAGTGCCACTAAATAAGCTACGCTTCAGAGTAACGACACTTGGCCATATTGTGGCTTAAAATCATGGTTTCCAGTTATCTGAAGCTTTATCTGAAATCACAGGAAACGCTTTTCCGTCCTCCACAAATGTTTAAATAGACCGCGACAGAGAAAAGCAATATTACATGAGCTTTCTAACACCGAATCGAATGCTGAGGAAGTCGCCCTTTTGAATCATGACGATCTGCAGTTGCGTCTGCTCTGCACAAGCCCCAATATGGCGGCGCCCACAACAATGTCGGGGAACGGAGTGCCGATACTCTAAGCGCAGCTCATATAGTGGCTCTAGCGTGGCCCAGCAAACGGATGTATGCGAGAATGTCAAGCTGGGTATAAATTGTCCTCTGATATTGGCGACGTGCGCGACCGAAAGCGTCGGCCTTTCACGATTGGCCCAAAAGCTGACTATGACGTCGGAAAGGGTATACCATCGACGGAAATAAGAAGAATAAAGGAACTTTAATTTCGACCGTGTTGGCAGTGTTCCTTTGAGAGCGCAATGATTTCAGGCTTCCACCACGCTATTTACAAACACCATCGAACTTGTTGTTCGCAAGGTAATGACGTCACAAGAGGGAACCATAGGAGGGCGCCACCAAAACATCTCGCCGCTAATAGGGAGATGCGGTTCGGCGGTTGTAACGGGCTTTTGCAATAAATCTTACCAAGAAGGAATCAAATGTTGATTGACGTGTTAATATTCTATCAATGAAAAATTCTTCTGCAGGAATGCACGCTCAGTAGACTCAATCTTCCAAGACGCCAGTGCAAGCGGACGTCAAGTAAACTGCTTCGCGATTTACGGTACTGACCTCACCCTTTTGATTACGACTAAAATAACGTCACGAAATATTGTGTTTCACGGGGTCCAGAAGATGTTGTAAAGGTTGTTACATTATAGTTCCCAGAAAACAAACGCCGTTGCAATATTTTCGGAAGTACCGACACACATAATGTTGTAGGTACAGCTTAGGAGGAATATGGTGAAAACCATCAGAAGAAAAAGGAAGACGTTTATTTGCAATGATGACGCTATGAATGAACGGCCTTTGTACGACGGCTAGTTATGAGCGTTCGGGAATTTATAAGTTCACGTGGTTGCTTACTATGAACATGCGTTTTTGTCGGGACATGGTGTTGCGGTGATGACCTGCTATCGGACGACTCGTGGCAGACGAACAAGCAAGTTTCTTCTCAGCGAATGGTAAGTGTCCAGTGTCAAGCACAACACGTAGCTACCGACGTTGTCGACGTTTTGAACACTTGCCGTTTTCGACAAAAATCCTGGCACCTAGGCTAACTTTCTGGAAAGACTCGAAGTCTTCCTTGAGTCCAAGGCCATCATGAACAGTAACTGTAAACGATCCACTATTCAATCGGTGGGTGGCGAAACGTATCCGCATCTGCGGAGTCATGGGCGATGCGTACTCTAAGCGGCTGGAAGTTTACACGATGCCTGCCATGACGTCCAAACACGTCATTAAGGTTCTCCGGTTTCTTTTACCTACTTTTGCCCTGCCGAAAATACTTTTCTCTGATAACTCGCCAAATCTTGCTTCAAACAATATAAACAAGTTTTTGAAGAAAAAAACCGGCATCAGACATCGCATTAGTGCACCATACCATCCCGCAACTAACGGGCATGCAGAACAGATGGTGTGCGAAACAAAACTAAAAAAGCCTTTTTGAAGCTTACGGAAGATGCAGTTCAGTGAAGAATCGCCAAGTTGTTGTTCCAGCAGCCCGCGACGGTCTCATCTTACACGGTAAAAACACCCGCCGAAGCAATATTCGGCGGACGAAGAGCCACACCCCTCGATCTCATGATACTATGGCTTACAAACGAAGGTCGAGAGATTCCTAGATCGGGAGTAATTCCAGTTTATTCGGTCGGACAACTCGTCTACGTAAGGAATTTAAGCGGAAGTCGGGCCTTCCATGTAAAACTTGAGTAGAAAAGGCTCTATGTTGGTTGACCAGAAGGTGTCATCTCTCTGAATACGTTGGATGTCAATGCTCTTGAGTGTACATAAAACTAAATCACAAAACTCTCTTTGTGTATTGTGTAACTGCCCTTGTATTTGATAGTAGAAGCTATGGTGGTGATTTGGACCTTTCACACCAGGCTACTTTTTCTTATTTTTCGCCTCATACTCCTTTGCGGTTTAAGTATGCTTCAAGAATCTTTTGGAACGGGGACACTTTACGTCATCGAGGCCATTTGTTCCAAGTAGTCAATCAAGAAATGCTGCTAGAAATCCGTCCCTCCTATTAACGAATAAGGCGAACTTCTGTACAGTGCAGTTTTCCTGTTCCACGCACAGTTGTGAAGCAGCATCCTCATTAATTCTACCATATTCTGTTGCGGGTAAAGAAAGTCTTTGGGTGCACGATATTTGAAACAAGTCTGGCACTGTACGTTGTGGTTCGACACCCACTAATGT